AGGGAGACGATGTTGTGTACGGTGGAGGAGGGGTGGCCAGTTAAGAAGAGGATGAGCAAGAGGAAATGCATAAGGAAAGGAACGGACGACGGGGAACAGCAGCATAAATGCGAAAAGCAGGGCGACCAGGGGAAGGCGAAGAAGGGAACAGGCGCGGGGCGACTCCAATCCAGGCCTGTGGCCCGTACAAGGGTGACAGTGCCATGCTAGACGACGAAATCAAAACGGATCGAACATGAAACCAAGCTTGAAGCCGCTCCGGTTGAAACGCCACCTGAAGCATCACAATTTGGAACCCGTGGCAGCGAACGCCCCTTCTTCGAGAGAGAAAGAGTGCCCCGCTCGGGCTGAATCGGTGGAGCCAGGAAAGTGATGGCCGTATCGAGTAATTGTGGACAAAGGAAAATCTGCGAAGGAGGAGGGAGAAGGGGTGGAGGGAAGGAACGACGGGAATGAGAAAAAAACGTAATGTCTTCAGGTCGCCGGGTCCCCGGTTCCCTGTTCCTCTTTGCCCTTGCGATTGTCCTTGCCCTCGCCTTTGTTTCTCAAGTAACCGTCCCTGTTGCTCTTGCATTTGCCCTTTTTCCCCCTTGCCCGTCTTGCCCTTGCCATCATTGTGAAGGCCTCCCCTGCCCGCAAGCTGCTTTCGGATGCCTTCGAATCTAGCATGACCGCGCGCTGACATGAGAAACCGATTCCAAAACGCAGAGCGCGTATTGCTTCAGAGACCCTTGCGCCACGCAGAAACCCGATCCTGAGTCGCATGGCGGCGCAGCCGAAAATCCACTGGAAAAGCAAATGCCAATCGGTCCATTGTTGGAGGCCTGGAAATGGGCACCAACACCAACACAGGGGGCTGCCTCCACAGGGGGGAGATGATCCTAGATTCGGTGTTGGTGGTAATATTTCGGCCACCTTGGAAGCCAGAGCATCACCACCATCACCGAGGTCGGGATCTTCTTCCCTCGGTGGAGGCACACCGCCGAAATTGGTGTTGGTGTCAACCTCTAGGCCTGCGACATCGCCGTCGCCGCTTTCGGCCCTGCGGGGCGGGGCGGTGCAGATCGTCCCTCCGTGCGCCCCCCCACCCAGATGTCAGGACTATTCCCTAGCGTGGTCATATGCAAGCTCGGGGGCGCGGGGGGGGAGGGGGGGGGCGCGGCGCGGGGTATGGGGGCAGCGGGCCAGGGCAAGGAGGCACGGGCGCGCGGAGCAGCGGATGCACCGCCAGCTGGGGACGTGTTTTTTCTGCATGATTGAAAGCTCAGATAACTTCTTGGCACAATAGCTGTGCAAAAGCACAATGAAAATGCCACGGAATCCCTCTTGGAGGTTGCGAACATGTCAAGCGGTCAGAAGGAACAGTTGTATGCCTGAAGTGATCCGGACAGCGCTCGGGTCTACACAGGAGAAAGGGGACGGAGGGAATACTAGACTGATGATCAGGACGAGAAGATGGTGGGGGCTCGGCCACAAGAAACCTCCGCAAGAAACCCAACCCTGAAATCCGCGATTTGTTCGGTGAAAATCCACATGTGCCGATCGAAAATCGTCAATTTCTGATTGGGAGCCCATCGAAATCCAAGAAACCCAAGGCACCCTGTCAAAATCCAACTGGTTTCTTGGCACGCGCCCCCACTGTAGAGAAAGGCGAATCATGGTGTGTGCACATGGAGCAGAGGGCGCGGAAGGACCAGGAGGGTTGGCATCGGGGGTGGGGCGGGGTGGGGGCGCGTCGGGGGCCGTCGGAAAAGGCCTCTCGGCCGCCCCCCGAGATGGGCCCCCGAGGGTCCCGCTCGTTCGCTCGGGGCCTGGCCCAGGAGACGCTGCACACGCGCGAATCTATGTATTTTCTCTCTCTCTCTCTCTCTGTCGGTGTCTCACTCGTCCACATCCGTCCGCTCATATGGGGTCAGACTTCTGGAGGTCGGAGTCAGCGGAGGGCAAGCGAAACAGAACATACTTCTGCGAAAAAACACGGGCCCGGCGAAGCACTCCCAACACAACTGAATGCGAGGCCCAGGCAAGAAGAAATTCCTGTTGAGACGGATACGACCCCCCGCTTGGAAAGGGAAACTCCACAGCGTTGAGCTCACCTTTTCGTGACCCCACGGACTGACCTCCTTTAGAAAGCCAGGGCGATCCTCTACAGAGCGCACCGCCCAAACAAGACATTCCTGTTGAGACGGATACGGCCCCCAGCTTGGAGATGGAAAATCCATAGCTTGGGCGCCCGAGTTATCCGGGGTAACTCGGGTCCGGGGTAAGTCGGGTTTGGATTCCCGAAAAAGGAACCCGAGTTAGCCCTGACCCGAGTTACCCCTGATGATTCGGGGCTCTGGGCGCCCGAGTTATCCGGGGTAACTCGGGTCCGGGGTAACTCGGGTTCGGATTCCCGAACAACGAACCCGAGTTATCCCTGACCCGAGTTACCCCTGATGATTCGGGGCTCTGAATAGCCTTGAGCTCACCTCTTCGTGACCCCACAAGCTGACTCCCCTTAGAAAGCGAGAGGGAGATCCTCCACGGAGCGCACCGCCCCAGGGGGTCGCGCCCCCACGCTCGTCACCCCCCCCCCTCTCCCCGATCTCGCCCAAGCCGCCTCGCGCACCACGGCGTCCGTCACCGGCATCTTGGACAGCCCCCAGGGGCCGACCATGTCCGCCGCTCTGAGCCCCTGGCCCAGGACGCTCGGGCTCTCAAGAGAGTGATGCGGAAGAGAAGGTGACTACCTACCAGACCACCCCAACCCAACCCGAAGATCCGAATCTCGGGTTGGGGGGGGGTAAGGGTTCCACATGTGTTTTGTTCGATGTTTCCCGACCCCCCCCCCACTGAAAATCGAGGGTAAGTCTGAGCCTTCGGGTTGGGTTGGGGCGGTTTGGTGGGTGGTGAGAACGACGAGTGCTTTGTCACGGTCTCGGCGGACGCGCCATTCGCTCGGGGCCAACGGGCAAAGAGCGGTCTGCAATTGGTCCGTTGCTCTCGACATCACAGACACATGCTAGAACAACAGGAGCGAGCGAAAGCCACGGAGGAAGGGAGATGTCCAACCTGTCTCTTACTGTAAATTGACATCCCCTGCGACACGGGAAAAGCATTCAATCTTCAAAGCAGAACCACCAGTGTGGATATAGCTTACGTAACCAACCGTCACCGAAAGGACATGACGTGAGCAGAAGACGGACCCGAACAACTGTACAAACAAGGCGTTGAGGGATGGACGGTGCATGTTGCACGACCTGGAGCTCTAAGACATTGGCGCTCGAATGCGCCAATGACATGGTCCGACGCAACACCGATCACACATTTCGTTAACGAGCGTATGGTGGTACACTCGGGAAGAAGTCGAAGTCACTCTTTACTGCGCATGTCAACGACAACAACGGCATACCGCACTGTAGGCACTTTGGGGCATGTGCGAGTGATCCTTTGTAGTCTGTTAACTTACCATCGGCACCGAACACATCAAACATCTACCCTCCAACGCAAAACGGAAACATAACGGTAAAGACACGACGACAAACAGGCGGCACAACAATTTGCTGCTATGCTCCAGAACTCGCCTGCACATAGACCCTCAGAGCTCCAGGGGCGAGCTGCCAATGTCGGAATGAAGCGAGAGCCGCCGGCGAATCTACTAGAATCAAACAAGCAAGAACATATTACAAGCTTCCTCCAAGAAGTTTCCCCACCCCTCCGCCGAACACACGCTCGCCTTCGTCCCACTACTCCCTCGCACCCCCCCCCCTGTCCGAAGGACGTCTAGGTCGCGGTCGAGCCTCGCCGAGCCAGGCGGCGGACCCTTCTGTGCAACTGCGTCTCCGCACGCCGCCGTCCAAGCACGCGCGCCCAGGGCTGCGTGCATCCGCACACCGCGCAGACGAAACCACACGCGCCGCATGCTCTCCATAACCGCGAAAGCCCTTCCCCACCCCGGTGCACGCACCGCACGCCTCCAAGACGCGCTTTCCGCATCCAGGGCTCCCCACTTCGCGCCTCGCGCTCCGCGAGAGCGCGAGTAACCTTCGCGCCCTCGCGCCGCCCCCCCAGAGGGGAAGAGGAGGACGAGGAGGGGGCGGAGGAACGAGGCCCGCGAAGCGCGAAGCGCGAATCACTTCGCGCTCTCGCGCCGCCCCCCCCAGAGGGGGAAGAGGAGGACGAGGAGGAGGGGGAGGAGGAGCGAGGCCCGCGAAGCGCGAGGCGCGAATAACTCCGCGCCCTCGTGGGAGCCCCCTGCGCATGCTCCCCAGGTGCACGCCGCCACGCGCTTCGCCAGACGCGACCCGCCTCCCCTCCGTGTGGCGGGGAACGCCCGCCCCCCCCCGGTGGCCGAGCGCGCCCCCCGGGAGACGCCTGGCGGGGCAGGGGGAAACCGTGGGTGGGAGAGGGCAAGGCTCAAGGGCCCTGGGACACACAAATAAATACACACAAATGAAAATATTATCCATATTTTCTGGTTTTCTGTCTTCCCCCCCACTGCCCATATTTTCCCATATTTTCTTGGGAATCGACGATTAATTGTGTCTGTGTGTTTTTTCTCCTCCTGAAGGCCTCCCCCGACGGTGGGGGGGCGACAAACAGACCCCTTCCCGCCTGCCGCCCGCCTGCTTGGCCCTGGAGTCCCTGTTTCCCCGCCTGCGCGTTCGCCGACAGCTGTTGGCTTCCCGCTCCAATTCTCCCCCTCTGTCGCCGCGCAGCACGGACTGCCAGGAGCTGGCGCCACCGCCGCAGTAGGTCGGATGACGCGCAGACCCATCTACTCGCTGCTGGTGGGGTACCCGCGCAGTCGGACCGCTGTCATACGGAACCCTAGACAAGAGGAACAAGGCCCCTTCTTTCCAGAAGTGAAGCTTCGACTTCCCATAGAAGATCTAAGGAACACTTCATAGAGTGAGACAAAACCGTATAAACATAAACTTTTGGCGCTCCGCGCTGATTTCATGGATCCGCGCTGGACCCCCCCCCCTCCCTGGCGCGCGGAACGCGCCAGGGGCGGCGCCGGAGGCGCCGCCGGGGGGGACCAGGCGCGGATCCACGAAATCCGCGCGGAGCGCCAAAAGTTTATGTTGATGTGGTTTCTCTTCTTCTGTACGACTATCAAGGAACACTGAGCCCTTCCCCAACGAACAGGGAACTGCTTGGATCGGCGGCGCCCGCGGACGCGGGTGCGAGGGTCGGAGCGCGCGGGGCGCGCCAGGCGCCAGACGCGCGGCGCGCGTGTGAGAGCAGACAGCGGCCGCGGAGGTTTTGGAGTCCCGAAGCAGTGCGGTGACGGACCGTGCGGTGACCTCGAAATCCCCAAAAACCTCACCGCACGGTCTGTCAACGCACGGTTTTGGGACCTCAGATGCCCCAATCGCCCGAGACGTCCTCGGAGAACGACCCGAGTCCCAAAACCGTGCGGTGACCCCGAATCCCCATCGACTCACCACACGGTGTTGTCCCCACTCCGTTTGGGGGTCCCCGGCTGGTGAGGGCGCGCAGGCAGCCTCAAGCACTGGGGACGGCGTTCAGCAAGTGGAGGAGCAGAAACCGGTCCCCGGGACCTCTCCCGGGGCTCATCGGGTGCAGTTTTCGCAGCCCAGATCACTTTCTGACAGTCCCAGGGACCAACAACGCCCCTCAGGGGCAAAAAAAGGCAACAAACAACGAATCCCCACCGACTCACCACACGGTAAGGCCACCACCCTGTTTGGGGGCCCCCGAGTATTGAAAACGGGAAAACAACGCTCCCGGCGTTTCTTAAGGGGAGGAGGAGGAGGAGGAGGAGGAGGAGGAGGAGGAGGAGGAGGAGGAGGAGGAGGAGGAGGAGGAGGAGGAGGAGGAGGAGGAGGAGGAGGAGGAGGAGGAGAGGGAGGAGGGGGAGGAGGAGGAGGAGGAGGAGCAGGAGGAGCAGGAGGAGCAGGAGGAGGAGGAGGAGGAGGAGGACGAGGAAGGGACCGACAACGCCTCTCAGGGGCAAAACAAAACAAAAAAAACCTCAACGAACCCAGAACTTCTGACCTGATCGTCCTTATTGCCGGCCGGCGCCTCCAGACCCACGGTGCGTTCAGCAAGTAGAGGAGCAGAAATCGAGGACACACGCCCGCATCGAAAACGTCCCATCTGGGAGAGGGCAAGTTTGGACGCCCGAAATGGGTACGGAAAGAATGGGTACAATGCCTAACAACAAATGTTGCCCCAAACCAACAGCGGCCGCTGTTGGGCAGGCGGCCTTCTGTCTCGAATGGACACAGACCGCGGCGGCGTGGACAGCGAATCCTTTTCAACATGAACAAGAACTGCTGTTGGGCATTGTACCCATTATTTCCGTGGCCATTTCGGGCGTCCAGAGCAAGGCCCTCCCACCCCGACGCAGGCCCCGCCAGATGCTCCGACCGCAGGTCCGCGAGCACGTCCGGCGCCCCCGCGAGGCTCTCCAGCGCCAGCGCCATGGAGTCGGCGGCCGTCACGGTGCAGCCTGGCAGCACGGGCGGGCCGCGCGCAATGCGTCGCCCCGGGGGCCCCGCGCGCGCCTCCTCCCCGCCCCTGGGGCAGCTCCTTTGAAGGGGCCCTGGGACACACAAGTAGATACACACAAGTAACAGGATCCCCAATATTTTCCCACATGTTCTGGGTTTGTGTCTTCCCCCCCCCACTCCGCATATTCTCCCATGTTTTTCCTGGGAGCGGACGACTAATTGTGTCTGTGTGTTTTTTCACCTCCTGATCTTTCCTCTGGATTCTGGCAAACCTGATCTGCATGGAGAGGAAGGGGAGGGGGGAGGCGGCGAGGTCCGAGAGGGAACCTGGCCGCTGCGAAGATCGGGATCGCCTTGCACGCCGTCTCGGCACGGCGCTGCTTGCAGAGGCGGCGAGGGGGGGTGAATGCCATGCGAACAAGTGGCACGCGTGGCTCTTGCGCATAGAGGGCGGGGGCAGAGGACGTGGAGGATGAGGGATGAGGGAGGACGAGGAAAGGAGACAAGAGAAGAAAGAGGCGGAGGATCATGAGGGGCCAAACAACAGGGAAACAAAGGGCGACGGAGCAAAGGAGGACGGGCGACAAATGCCATGCAACTGAATTTGCTTGAGCCTGCAGAGCCTGCAGAAAGGCAGCCTCCCAGGGGACAAATTGCCCGGCGCCTGGGGCCCCTCGCCTTTCTGGGGCCGGGAGGAGCGGGAATCGAGGGGGAGGGAGGGGGGAAGTGTTCAGAGAGGTCTCCTCCCACTGCCCCTCCATCTCCTTCCCCGGCTCCCCCTTCTCCTTCATTGTTTCTCCTTATGCGTAACTTCTCCCTGCCGCAAGCCCCAAACGTGTTGGTAGGGCGGGCCAGGCGTTTCGCCTGAGACGTCCTCACCATTAACGATCCTGAACCTTGAACTTTGCAACACCTTCACGGATGAAGGGCGGGTGGTAGGCAAGCTGTGATTCTCTCTTACCTTAGCACCCGCGCAAATTTGCCTAAAACATGTGCAACACTTTCAAAAGTGGAGGCCGGTTCCTTTTCAACCTGTGGCCCTCGCTATAGCGCTGCGCACATTCGTTTTCAGAATTTGATACAGCTTCACGCATATAGAGGGCGGGTGGTTTTCAAATGGAGGTTCTCGCCTTAGCGCCGCGCCCATTCGTGGTAAAGTTTGCAGCAGTTCCTAACATCTGGCTCTCGCCTCAGCGCCGAGCCAATTCGTCTTCAAAGTTCGCGACCGTTCAAGGATTCGTATGATTGACGTCCCGAGAACGGTTCTCTTGCACGATCTAGGGTTGTCAGGAAGCAACGGTCACGACAATTTGCGGTGCTGGACTCCCAAAGATGGCATTCTGGTTCGATTCGACGCAACATCCGCTACAATCCGCGGCGTTGGGGTCTCAGGAATTGTGTTTTGACACGGCTGAGGATTCTCAGATGGTTGACTTCCAATGGTTTGCTGCCCGCAAAGCGCATCAACTCTGATAGGGACCTGCGCAGAAAGAACCTGGAGGGAGAGATGTTTGCAACATCGTTGATGCGTCTCGGCTTGGGCTAGTACGCCTCCTCCTCCTCCTCCTCCTCCTCCTCCTCCTCCCTGCGTCCTTCCTCTTCCCTCCTCGCCGCCGTCTTCGTAGCCGCTGCCTCGTCGTCGTGCCGCCGCACCTCAGAGGTCGCCGTCGCTGCGTGGGCACGGGGAGAAGGAAGGAGGGAGAGGGGATGAGGAGCGCGGACTGGGAGAAGGGAGGCGGGAGGAGAGGAGGGGGGAAGCACGCCCAGCCCCCGACCGCATTGCACACGTCGGAACTGCCCATGGTGTTCGGCCTACCAGAGGTCGACTGCGCGCAGGCGCCCCAGGAGGGGACAATGAGGAGGCAAACTGCGCTCCAAGTGCAATCAGAGTCTTCGATCGAAGAGTGCGTGATAATTTCAGAACCTCCACAGGAGGTGGCGAAGAAGCATCCAAGGGTGTCTAGTGCAGGACGTAAGGGTGTCTGACATTTTTTCCGACGCCCCACCCTTTGGTCCACCTGGACGTCCAACAAACACACTATACACTTTGTGGAGTGCCCCAAACGTCGTAGAGGTGCTAAAGCTACACGGAATGCAAGAATTTGGGCCCTGGAGGCCCATATTGCCAAGATCTTCTCGAAGGATCCTGAGCCATGCTGAAAATTCCCGGCCTCTCCTCGGGTGTTTTCTATGAGCCTCCTAGAACCCCAAACTGTGTTCCATTCAGTCTCAGTGCTAGGTGAACGGTCCCCGCCCAAACTGACCCCGAGACCAAGAGGCTCCCAAGGCTTCAAGGGGCGCGCAGGCAAGATACGCCAAGAGGTCTGTGGTTCACGACTTTCTCACCTTGGCGGGACGGGCTCAAGGCCACTGAGACTCCAGATGCACCCAGCCAAACTCAGAGAGCGCTCCTCCCTCCGTCCCTTTCCCGGTCCTACGTGCCCTCATCATCTGACCTTCCCCCCTCATCGTTCCACGCCTCCTCCATGCTCATGACAATCCTGCCCACCCAACTACTCCCTCATCCGCCCTTCTTTATCCTTTTCGCGTCCTTCCTGCCCTTCCACGTCATGTTCCACCTCCTGCTACTCCATCATTCCAGTCGCACGGATGAGCGGTGGGTCGTGATCAAAGGAAGCTCTCGACTTGACGCCGCGCACATTCGTCTCACGAATGGCGGGCAGTCCGTTTTTTAAGTGGGGCTGTCGCCTGGCGTCACGCGCATGATTCTTGAAATCATGCAACACCTTTGTGGGCCCCGGAAACGGCAGGGCCGTTTTTTCACCGTTTCCAGAAAAATGTCCCTTGAACATGGAAACGGCAAGAAAACGGCGACCGGAAACGGCAAACAAACGGCTCCAAGGTCCAGGATTGGAACCGGAGCCGGAACCGGTCAAAAAACGGCGACGGAACAGGTAAAAAAACGGCGTCGGAACCGGCAGAAAAACGGCAAAACGGAACCGGTAAAAAAACGGCCCTGTCTTTTCCAGGGCCTGCTAAGTGCAGCACTTACGCGGGTGGAAGGCCGCCACTTGCTGTGCAGCATGCCACGCACGCGAACAGCGCGCGAGGAGGGCTCCCACGCTCCTTCGCTCGTCCTTTTGCGGGCTGCCGCTGCCGCTCCCTCCCCGCCCCCCCCCAGCAGCGCCGAAGAGCACGGTGACGACGAGGTCATATAGCCACTTGCCGCCACTGTAAGGTATGCCTGCCCCGCGGTGTTGTGGTCGTTGTCGTCGTCGCTCTCGTCGTCGTCGTCGTCGTCGACGTATTCGTGTTCGTCGTCGTTTTCGTCTTCCTCGTCGTCGTTCATTTCCACAGGCACCCGGAGCGCCCCGGATCGGCGGCACTGGCCGGAGGCCACTACAATAGCCACTTGCCGCCACTGTAAGGTGTGCCTGTCCCGCGGTGTTTCCTTCATCCCTTCGGTGGCAGCTCATTGGAGCCTCCCATGCCGTCTTGCTGGCTCTCGCGAGAAAGCGCGACTCGACCCTGATCGGCGCTAGTCGACACAAAGCATCGACGATACATCGACGCCGATCGACGCTGGGTTTGCGTTTCCCCATCGATTACTGGACGCTGTCGTGCACTAACGTGCCCTAGAGACGGAACTGCCAGGGCATACAAGCAACGACCGGCCACAACGATATTCAAAACGAAATGCCGTTTAAAACGAAGAACGAAACCAAGCCCAACGTTTCAAACGAACGCTTAAAATGACACCGGTGCCAAACGAAACGAGCAACGCAACGGGGCGTTTGAAGAATCAGCGAGCAACAAAACACATCACAACGATCAACAAAACGCAACAACAGCTACCATCGAAACGAACAACTAAACGAACAACAAACCAAAGGCCCAAACCGAGCTAAGCAGCGTTGCGGTCGGTCCTTGCATACACGGCGCCCATGGTTTGCGAGTGAGCATGCCTCCACAGGAGGACGATGTGGTGCAGGAAGCAGACGAGCATGCCGAGCGGGCAGTGGAGCAGAAGCAACTCGCAGGTGGAGACGCACGACGGGGAGTAGGGAGAGAGTAGGCGCAGGCTTGGAGGTTTGGAGACTGCCCATCTCCTCGCTCGCCAAGGCGGGCGCAAAACACATTCTAGTCAAATTCCTCGATGCCGTTCTAAGAATCGGACCTCCTCCTCAAACAAATCCTCACACCAAACCGTGAAACGCACAACTGAGGATGGATTCGCGAAACCATGCAAGCGGGCAAACGCCATGTCTATCAGAGGATGAGCGTTCTGAAGGCAATAACCAACCGACCCACACCCAGCCCGACCGCCCCCACATCCAAACGAATCAGCGGAGCACAAGCGAAGGAGGACGACGACGACGAACGAGAGATAGAGGGACTATTGTCGAAACAAATATCGGAAATTCCTAAACGCGTCCACAACCCCAAACTGCCCCCCAGGTTTCCGCTACATGTTCGAGCCCCTGGGGCCCTCTGGCCCTGTGAGGGGTATTCTGGAGGCCGTGGGGACATCCTTCAAGTCCTGGGGACGTCTTGGGCCAGGGACACTTCGCGCGATGAAGGCTGACCGGTGGAGGGGGAGGCGGAAGAGATCGAAGCCGAACCAATTCCTGCACGAGCATGCGCTGCCAACGGAATCCAAGCTGATGTCCTGACCGCGCGGTCTGCCAGAACTTCGGCAGGGACCCCTGATGGAGAACAAATGGTGGGGAACTCCTCATCCAAAGCCAAGCTGAAAAACGTACGGCGAAAACTGGAATACCGGTGGGCGTTGCGCTCACGTGCTCTGCATACATGTGTGCCGAAATCTTGACACGCCTACGACAATGGAAGAACCGCGAAGCAAGATTGGCGCAGAAAGAGACAATGTTGAGGAGGGCGTTCTCTGTAGCAGCCGGATGAGGCGCACGACAATGACAAGAACGATGAGGGTCTCCCCTCCCCTGGACCCCACCCCCTCCTCCAGCGCGGGCGGCCGAGATAATCTCCTCAAGCAGGGTCCGCCTGTGCCACGCATTCTCAGGCGGAGCTCCCTCCTCCCTCCCCATCCGTCCCCACTCCCCCTCTCCCTCCCCCGCCCTCCTTCCCCTTCCCTCCTCCGCCCCCCCCCCTTCTCGTCCTCCTCCCCCCGTTCCCCATCTGTCCCTTCCTTTTCATCCTCCCCACCCTCCCCTTCTCGCCTCCCTCCTCGTCGTACCTGACGCACCGCCCAACCAGACATGCCGCCCTGCCAGGCATGTCCCTCCTCGGCCGTCCAAACCCGCTCCTCCCCATACTTCTTCCTCCTCGTCGCCCCACCAGAGACGTGTCAATGAAGCGGTCTCGGCTTATGTTGCTGCCATCTCGTTTAAGGACCATATCCAGCAATACTTTCAAGTACCCATCACAAGTATCTCGAAACAGTGTCGAACGAGTATCGCCTCCCAGGGCCCGACACCCGACACGCGACAACACTCAAGTTTCGGTATATTATTGCTGCTCGAAATTCTTTTTGGTGGTCAAAGCTAAAGTAGGTCAGAACATCATAAGTATGGACATTCCGCCTGAGACGTTGTCACCATCCCTGGTCCTGGAGCTCGGGACCCCCAACAATGACACAGTGGCACTGCGGGGACGGGGGTCGTGTTCGACATGCAGTTGCCGCCGTAGCGCCGACTCGCCTTTCACGTGACAAGCAATCAGTTACAAAGATGGAACAGGCGTGCAGTCTCAGTCTTACACATATGCAGTGATTGTTCCACGATGCGAAAGATGAGGAAAGCCTTTGGGGCACGACCCAAACGAAGGCGGAAAAGCCTGGCCCGTAGCCGCGAGATCCCCCTCCGATATCCTTCCTCCTCCTTCTCACCTGAGCGGGTGAAGAACCAAGGAGGATGACCTGATCATCGAGCTCGCTGCCGTGGCAATGGGCAGCAACACGAGGTGAGAAAGGAGAAATATGGGTACGGCAGTTTCGTGTCCGAGTGACCCTGGCGTTGGTTCCTGACACCGGGGATGGTTCGACCTTGAACGATTCTGGATCGCCAACGGCATTCAACGTTGACCACCGGCGGGGGCGCCGCTGATCAACACGACACGGGCCTACCGTAGGACGGGAGAAACAGAGAGAGAGAGAGAGAGAGAACGAGAGCGAGAGAGAGAAAGAGAGAGGAAACGACCATCCGCACGGTGACTTGGGGGTCTCGTATCCAGCTGGTAAGGCCCACTGCCGACGGGGCGGCTCATGGCGCAGTGGCTCCCGCCTCCTTGTCATCGTCGCTGCGGTGCTGCTGGCGGCTGGGATGGAGTCCACTGTGGAGGTGTGGCTGCACGGTTTCTCCCGGGGCCGTAGGCGACCCGAGGAGGAGGAGGAGGAGGAGGAGGAGGAGGAGGAGGAGGAGGATTAGGAGGAGGAGATGGAGGAGAAGGAGGCGGAGGAGGAGGAGGACGGGTCGCCTAAGCCCTTCGGAGAAACCCTCCAGGTGTGGCATGGAACAAGCGTATCAGCATGTTGTGTTTATCCGCCACCCCTTCGCGGCCGCCCGAACGCCAATACTGCAACGCCCCGAGGCGGCGTGCTCGAGGCTGCCTTCTCGTTGCCCGCGCGACAGCGGGCGGTCTGAAGCTACGGGTGGGGACTGGCCCGGCAGCATGTCCAAGAACGAGAACCGGAAGAGAGAACCCCCCAGAGAGAGAGAGAGAGAGAGAGGACGGGGGGGGCGAGGCGGACGAGGACTGGAGGAGGACGAGAAGGACGAGGACGAGGACGAGGAGGACGATGACGAGGATGCGGACGAGGGGGACGAGGACGAGGAGGAGGACGAGGGGGGCCCGGAGGACGAGGACGGGAAGGAAAAGCCGAGCAGGGAGGAGGATGAGGAAGCCGGGGAGGGAGGTGGGTGGGGACGGACGGAGGGGAAGACTGAGGGGGCCCAAGTAGACACAAGTCCGCCGATGCTGTCGGCGTGTGGAAGACGCTGTCGTTGTCTGCCGCAAGCAAACGGAGGCACGTCGTAATCCACTCGAAGGGAAATCCCTTCCCTTTGATCCCGTCCCCGCCGGGGGAGGGGGTCCCGTCGTTGGGGTGGGGTGGGGAGGGGTCCTATAGATCAGAATACCGCCCCCCGGTTCTGGGGGTCCCCTGGGGAGGTCGCCAGCGCGGGTCCCGGGAGAAGTCCCGCACGACTTCAGGGTCGGTGGCAACGGCCGTCATAACCTATTCTGAAATGCATGTACATAAGTTGCAAGAGATCCAATATTTCCTAGATTTTCTTATTTCCATCCGTTGCCTATTTCCCAATCCGTTCCTGAAGATTAACATTTACGTGTGTCTGTGCCGATTCTTCCCTTCTGGAAAGCAAGATATGGAGAGGAAGGGGGAGGGAAGATGGAGGGGCGGCGCCGGGGGGGAAAGCGGGGAACGTCCCCAACGACTGCCTCCTCCATCTTGCGAGGCAACTTATGGGAGCCTCCCGTACCGTGGCTCTTGCAGATCGACGCGAATCAACGCTATTCGACGCTGAGTCGACGCTGTGTCGACACGAACCGACGCTTCTTCATCAATTACCAGACGATAGTCGACGCTGTTGCGCTCTCAAGACTGAGTTACGACAGCATACAGTCGGGGCGTTGACCTAAAGCACCCAAAATAAGAAACGGGGCCTCTTTTTCTGAAGGTTACACTTCGACTTCCCATGGGAACCCTCAGGAACGCCCAATGCAAAAGGTAAACCAATCCAGGAACACAGAGCCCCTCCCCAACGAGAAGGGTTCCGTCTTCAGCGCCCCGACTGTACCAGTGGCGAGCGGTCGCCAAATCCATGGATCGGGGGAGGTGCCCTCCCCAAAATGCGGCTGGTGCCGCCTCGCTCGGCGGCGGAAATCCGTGATTTCCTATGGCAACGGGACCCGTCGCTAATCCACGCCCCCGTGATCCATGTTTGCGATCCCCTGGACTGAGATACGACGGTATACCGGGCTCCCACGACTTGCTGTTGAATTCCCCCCTCCGTCCTCCTCCGCGATGGCCAACCGCGCCGGCCCACCGCAAAGGCTCGGCCGCCCCGGCCGCGCCCGCCGCGAGAACTGCCCTTCCGGAATGGGCTCGCTGGGGGGTCGGGGGCGTTCACGAGGGGGGCGCCCAAGAAGGGGGGGCGCAAAAGGGGGTCCAGCTGAAAGGTGGTGGTGCAATAGATTTGATCAACGCTAGTCGAGGCTGTGTCGACACGAACCGACGCTACTTCATCAATTACCTGACGATAATCGACGCCATTGCGCTCTCAAGACTGAGTTGCGACGGTCTGCAGTCGGGGCGTTGACCTAAGGCACCCTAAATTAAGACGAGACCACTTCTTCTGAAAGTTACTCTTCGACATCTCATGGAAAGCCACGGGAAAGCCCAATGCAAACTGTAAACCAATCCAGGAACACCGAGCCCCTCCCCAACGAAAAGGGTTCCTTCCTCAGCGCCCCGACTGTACTTCCCACGACTTGCTGCCGACTTGCTGCTGAATTCCGTCCTCGACCTGCTGCTGAATTCAACTCTGCCAGGATCAACTTCAAAACTCAAAATGAACCTTACCCCTTCACGGCTGCCCTGAAACTTGCCGCTAAACCTCCAACCTTGCTGCGGCATACCAGGCTCCCATGACGAACGATCAACACACACCCATACCCATAGGGGGGACGAAGTGAGCTATGGGTGCGCGTTGTCGGATGGGGGTCCCCGCTCGAACGGGAGCCTCCCCCGGGGGTCCGACAAACCCGCACCCATACCCATAGCCAGTCCCTCTCCCTCCTACCTCCCTATGGGTATGGGTGTGTGTTGTTCGTTCGTCATCCCACGACTTGCTGCTGCATTCCCCCCTTCCGGCCCTCCTCCGCGATGGCCAGCGCGCGCCGGCCCACCCGCACGGGCTCGGCCGCCCCGGCCGCGCCCGCCGCGAGAACTGCCCTTCCGGAATGGGCTCGCAGTTGGGGATCGGGGGCGTTCCCGAGGGGGGCGTCCAAGAAACTGGTCGACCCACCAGAGGGCCCAGCTGAAAGGGGGCGGTGTAAAACAGATTTGGGGCAACTGTGTGACACGTGTACTGCGCCGGAGAATTGTATTGCATTGAATTGCGACGATATGTGTTGCACGCGAATCTCCCGCAATACATTTGCGCCCTGGGATGCATTGCGCGCCCCAAGTGTATTGCAACACCACAAAGCTATTGCACCAGATCTGTTGCACCAGCGCCCAGGCGCTGGACCCCCCTTATGGGCCAACCCGACAGAAGGGGGACGCAACTATAGAGGCCTCCCCGATGGGGTCCAGGGCCTCCTGCAGGGAAATGGGGTCGAAGGATCGCGCCGCATCGCCAATGCATCGCCGATGTGTCGGCGATGCGTCGGCGATGCCTCGGCGACACATCCGCGACGTCGGCGTGGGGAGCATCGGGCTCCACATCGAGCTGCATCGTGGATGCATCGGCGATGCAGCGCCATCCTCCGACCCTATCTACTCGGAACCCATCTAGCGGGCCTAGGAAATCATTGCCAGCGGCATGTCAGGGATGTATTAAAAAAGAAGAAGAGGCACCATGAGATCGGGGGAGATATCATGGCCCCCGCCTTGATATCCCCCAGTCATCACCCATCTCTTTGTCGCACCCGAGCTGGAGGAGGGTTTGGAGTCCCGAAACGGTGCGGTGATAGACCGTGCGGTGACCTCGAAATCCCCCAAGACCTCACCGCAAGGTCCGTCAACGCACGGTTTGGGAACCTCGGATGCTCCAATCGCCCGAGACGTCCTCGGAAAACGACCCGCGTCCCAAAACCGTGCGGTGACCCCGAATCCCCACCGACTCGCCACACGGTGTGGTCACCACCACGTTCGGGGGCCTCCGAGAGGCCGTGACCGGGGCCACATCGGGCCGGGGCAGATGTGGGGATCCCCGAGATCTGGCGGTTCTGGAGGGCGCCTCGGGCGCCGGCGCCCTTCCAGAGCGCTCCCAAAGCTCTCAGGTCGTTCAAGGACGCTCTTT